TCCTCACAAACGTCAAGGTCCCTCTCACTGGTGAATACTGAAGCAAAGTATTCATTCAGGACCTCCCCTACCTCCTCTGAATCCGCACAAAAGTTCCCTCCACTATCCCTGATTGGCCCTACCCTCACTCTGGCCATCCTCTTGTTCCTCACATAAGTATAGAAAGGCTTGGGGTTTTCCTTGATCCTACCCACCAAAGTTTTCTCACATCCCCTTCTAGCTCTCCTAAGTCCATTCTTCAGTTCCTTCCTGGCTACCTTGTAGACCTCTAGAACCCTGTCCAATCCTTGCTTCCTCAACCTTAAGTAAACTTCCTTCTTCCTCTTGACTAGGTGTTCAACATGTCTTGTCATCCAAGGCTCCTTCAACTTACCATCCTTTCCTTGCCTCAGTGGGACAAACCTATCCAGTACCTGTAGTAACTGCTCCCTAAACACCCTCCACACTTCTATTGTGCATTTCCCTGAGAACATCTGATCCCAGTTGGTGCTCTGTAGTTCTTGCCTAATAGCATTGTAATCCCCCCTCCCCCAATTAAATACTTTCTCATACCGTCTGCTCCTATCCCTCTCCATGGCAATTATAAAGATCACTATCACCGAAATGCTCTCCCACCGAGAGATCTGACACCTGACCTGATTCGTTGCCAAGCACCAAATCCAATATGGCCTCCCCTCTAGTCGGCCTATCTACATATTGAGTCAGAAATCCTTCCTGGACACACCTGACAAAATCTGCTCCATCCAAACTATTTGCACTTAGGAGGTTCCAGTCTATATTAGGGAAGTTGAAGTTGCCCTGTTATTTCTGCACCTTTCCAAAATCCGTCTCCCAATCTGTTCCTCAGTGTCTCTGTTGCTACTGGGGTGTCTGTAGAAAACTCCCAATAAAGTGACTGCTCCTTTCCCGTTTCTGACTTCCACCCATACTGACTCAGTGGAGAAACCCTCCTCCACGACCTCCCTTTCTGCAGCTGTGATACCATCCCTGATTAGCAATGCCACTCCCCCCACCTCTTTTACCTCCCTCCCTATTTCTTTTGAAACATCTGTACCCCGGAACATCCAACAACCATTCCTGCCCCTGTGTTATTCAAGTCTCTGTAATGGCCACAACATCGTAGTTCCAAGTACTGATCCATGCTCTCTAAGTTCGTCACCCTTATTCCTGACACTTCTTGCATTGAAGTAGACAAACCTCAACCCGTTGCACTGACTGCCACTTTGCCCTATTAACTGCTTATTCTTCCTCATAGACTCTCTGCTTGCTCTATCTGTTTGTACACTGGCTACCCCATCCTCTGATCTGTAGCTCCGGTTCCCATCCCCCTCACTTAAATGCTCACTTTGTTCCATTGGACAGATGCATGTTTTTCTGTGGTAGATTTTTGGAATGAAATTTCTCCTTGGGCTGGAGCCTGAAAGTTACACTCAAAATCATGCACATTTTACTGACGTTTATCTACATCCAACTTTCCTGCAATCTCATTAACATGTGATGGATTGGAAACTGGTGTAAAGAAACCAAATCAACATAAACAGTTGAGGGCTAAAGCACCAAACTCCCATTGTAATACTACTCCTTTTTTAGAATTGAAATTTCAAATAATCATAATACCATTGTTTTATTTGTTAATGGTATGTGGGCATTTCTGATTTCAGCATTTGTTACACATGAAAGTGGTGGTGAGTTGCCTTCTTGAACAACTGTAGTTCATGTGGTAAAGGTTGTTAGGGAGATCTAAGATTTTGATCCAGTGATAGTTGAAGTCAGGATGATGTGCAACTTCAAGTAGAACTTTCATGTTTTGTCTGTTGCCCTTGTTCTCCTAGCTGGTGGAGGTCCCCAGTTTGGAAGGTGCTATCAAAGGAACATTGGTGTGCTGCTGCATTACATGTTATGGTATACGTGCTACTAACATTGGAGGGAGTGAATATTTAAGGTGGTGGATGGGTTGCCAATAAAGTGGGCTGCTCCTGAATGTGTTCTATGGTCTTCAGTGAAATGAAATTGGACTCATCTGGCCTCATGGGGATATTTCTTCATCTTCTTGACTTGTGCCTTGTAGGTGATCGAAAGGTATTGACTCTTCAAAACCTAAGTTGGTTCCTGCAGAATTCCCAGTCTCTGACCTGCTCTCGTAGCCTCAGTAGTTAAGCAGATGTGGGCATTGTTGCTGTCAGATCATACTCTAATAATTCAGTGTCGACAATCCAATTTAAGTGGGAATGCAGATAGTCATATGGGTTGACTACAAACAGTCCTTATGTAGATATTTTTTCTAGGAAAGTTGAGAAGTATGCTAGAACTGATCCACTGTATCCAAAGTAATGGACATGACACTTTGTGACAAGATCACAGGAACAACCCCAGAACTGAAGCCACATGTCACTTCGAAGCTGGAACTATCTGTACAACCAGGATGTCTCCTATGGCAAATGACGGTCATCTTTCCATCGCAGCTAAGGAAATGTGTGTTAAATGAACTATACAAAGGTCACTGTGGCATTGTCAAAATGAAGGAGATGGGCATCAAAAATAAACATTGGCTAGGGCTCAACTCCACAATCGAGAAGGCGAGAATACGTACAGGTTGCACAAGAGTTTGCAACCTATCTCTATCAGTGCCATTACGCTCATGAGAATGGCCAGAAAGGCCATAACAAAGAATCCATATTGACCATGCCAGACATTTTAAAGGACAAATGTTTTCCATAGGGGTTTACATACGTACAAAATGACCTGAACACGACCTCATGAAGATGATCTCTTCAGAGAAAAAACATTTGAAAGATTAGGGGAGATCTTTGCAAGGTTTGGTTATCTAGAATAACTTGTTATTGATAATGGTCCACAGTTTGTATCACAACAGTTTACGGATTGTCTAAAGCCACAAATTCTTTGGTAGAAAGATTTGTTCAGAGAATGAAATCCTTTTAAAGGTAACTCAAGAACAAAGATCACTATCAAAAAGATTTCAGCCAATTTTTGTTAGCATTCGGGAAGACATCCCACTCAAGTTCTCCAGCATTGTTCATGATGAATTCAGTTGCACACATCACTGGATTTGCTTAAACCATTCACGGCAAAGGACACTGTTGACTGGAAAACCTGATTCTGTAGTTTCCTATGGGAGAACAAAGCCAAAAGCTGCATTTTCCAAACAGGTCCAGAAGTGTTGGCGAGGAATTACACCACTAGTGAGAAATGGATACCAGCCATCATTGTAGCACAGACTGGACTGGTCTCCTACATCATAAAGATCACAGTGTAGAATGGAGGTGACATACGGAAACTCTTGGCAACAGCAGTTAATGTTGTCTCTGACACATTCATTAAAGATCCATAAATAACTGTGCCAAATCGAGAACTGAATATACCTGAGGACAAAACGTTAACTGAAGCATCTGAGGGAGACATTACCTTGATGCAGAACACAATGACATTGTTCAGAGATTCACACATTCACTTGTCTCCGGAAAAGACAACAACAGATAATGTTCCTAAATCAGCAGATGTTAAAACCAATGAGGAAAAATAAACAGACATCTGAGGGGTGCATCAACAGCTACACAGGAATTGACATCCTCTGGAATTTTTTTACCTATTGCGTATTGTATATATATTGTAAATATTATGAATGCCTTCATTGCAGGAAACTCTGATGTAAAGAGTGAGGACTGTTGTGTATTTGGTCCATATGGTGGACTATCTCTTTAAGAGTCTGATCACATGATATTACAATGACATCAATAACCATTTTGGGTAAGAAACTGTCTGATCTTGCTGTCTGCAGAGTAATCACCTACTTAATAAAGCTCCTACTTTTGCTGAAGATATCAGCCTCCTAATACATGTTGAAATGTAACAGACAACTCTCCAATTTTGCTACGTGAAGTGAGTTGACCTTTGCGGTACTGGGCAATGTGGGTTTTTTTTAAATGTATCCAATGCCATGCGGTTTGTCCTGTGTTATGCTGTTTTGACTTGCTGGTAAATATTGTTGAGTGGATTACTAAGCTGCTTCAGAGGGCAATTAAGAATCAACCACATTATAGGAGTCACAAATGGGTCAGACTAGGCAGGAGTGGGAGATTTCTTCACAGTAGTGATTGAGATGTGATCTTATGGCAACTTGGTAGTTTCATGGCCACTATTACCAACTTTTTAAATTCCACATTCATTTAATTGAGCTGTTTTTAGTGGCACTGAACTTTTGGAGCATTAATTTAGTCCTCTGGATTACTAATTTAGTAACACTAGCACGAGGCTACAGTTGCCATTGACTTATGCATTGGAAGAACAGCAAATTTAGGAACATGTGATGATGGAAGCCTTTTTTTTAAACGTGCATTTTAATGAAAGCATTAAAAATCCAGCGTTCCGTAAGGATAATTATATTTTTAAAACATTAAGTGTATGTGCACGTTAAAAATGATTTTTTTTCTGCTTTGCTTAAATTTTCTTTTTGAATAAGTGTAATGAAAGGACATTTGAATGCATAGATTTTTATAATGTATCAGTACCAAGACTAATGAATTGGGATACATTTGGATACTGATACTGAGTTGGGTATAAAAGTGGGAGAATATTTGAATATGGCGTAATTACATGCGTAACATTTGTATCCATGTCTCCCACTCTTTTTCTAAACTGGTCTTTGTTTTATCTCCCAAATACATCAGCAAGATGATGTGAGTGCATCCACGTTTGTAAAAAGCTATCTGATCCAAACTGGATAATATTCCAAATTAACTTGAGAAACAGACAATCGTGCAATTTATTGCACTTCTTTCAATTTGCAGCTCTCTATTATCACAGTTAGTTTTGCAGACCTCTCTTTACTGCTCTGCATTCAATGCATTTCTCCAGCACAGGGTTACTTTTGTGCTGCAATTATAGTGAGGAGTAAAGGTTTATGTTCGGTTAAAGTATCATAAGAATAACTGAAGAAAAGCCATTGTTTATAATTTGTGAACTATTATTTTGTTTAAAACCAGGTTTGCTAGATACTTTGTGAATTCGAATGGAACAGAAGTAAGAATGTTGTTCAAGACATATGGGATACGATTTGAGGTTGAAGTTTTTGGACAGGTGAGTATAAGTTTACTATTTTCCTTTAGTTGCTTTGAATAACAGTTTTAGAATAAAAATATCCAGTGAGCTAATTGGAGTTCTTGATCTTGAAATATAGAGCAATCCACTTTTGTCATGAGATTTTCAAATCTACTGCTAGCCCAAAGGAAAAGTGGCCTGAAACAAAAGTCCAACTATGTATTTCTAAAACCCAGGGGTCTGGCTTCCTTACCTATACTCCTACTTTATGTGGAACATCTGACAATATGAATCATGACGACACTTCACAATAATCTAACAGATGTACACTGGAATGCTACAGAGCAGTTGACTAGTCTTCCAAAATCCTATATGCTCATTATCTGTATTTTCAATGCTATTAATTTGTAACTTTTTAAGAACCTTTTTCAAACGTCACATTACAATCCAGGCACCAGACAATCATAGTGTCTGATGCCTGGATTAACAGCTGTGTTTTTAGCAAAATTTATAATGCAGAAGTAATGAGTAAACTTTATTTTAACTGGTACCTCATGAACTGGCACTTGATAAACCGGCAAAAATTATGTACCCCAAATACTGGAAATTTACTGTATTGTTGCAATCTCAATGTCCAAGTAGTCACTTGAGGGTATGTGAGAAAGTTCTCTGCCAGTAAGCTTTATTTTAAGGTGAAGTTGGCATTATCATTTGTGATTTATTCTATAAATCAAGTATAACAGTGTGTATACTCCCTGCATTACATTTCTATTACTTAGTGTGTGTTTTTATATTGATTATGTGGACCTTTTGATCAATCAGCACACTCTCTCACTCCTGGTTGCATAGGTGCTGGTTAACAAAAAGTTTATGGTACCACTCATACATTATATTTCTAAGCTTTGTGGTTTTCTATGATTTCTACACACAACCTAAATCACTGCAGAGAACTGTTTCTTTGGTTTTTACTCATCCTAGTTGCAAAATAATGGTCTTTCTAAGTTTAAAAGTGGTAGTCTTTTTTTCTCTCACCAGCATAATAACAAAAGGAGAATCGTAAACTTCATTTTTCTGTGATCTTGAGCATTTGGGTGCACATGTAAAACTATTTCACTACCATACCACCCCCCCCAAAAAAAAAGGCTGTGAGAGCATTCAGTATAAATTTAACACTCCCGACATCCATTGTTACTTGTATTAGTTGTCATCCTGGTCCAGTTGTATAACAAAGATTTGCAGATAAAAGTGTAGCCAACCATTTGCAAATGGCATGGATATTGTACTGTAATGGCTTTTTAGTTCTTATAGGGGCTAAGCTCATAATGAAGTCAGGACTGGTGAGTCTAAGATTGTACTTCCCTCCTACCAATGCTGGTTCCTACCTAGCCTTCCAATAAGCTATCAGAAAAGGACTGTTTGGGTAGCTTAACTAATAAATGTTCCCCTCTCATTCATAGAATCATCATCGTTAAAGAATTCCTACAGTGTGGAAACAGGCCCTTTGGCCCAACAAGTCCACACTGACCCTTGGAGCATCCCACCCAGACCTATCCCCCTATAACCTGCCTAACTTACACACACCTGGACACTATGGGCAATTCAGCATGGCTAATCCATTTAGCCTGCACATCTTTGGACTGTAGTAGGAAACTGGAGCACCTGGAGGAAACCCATGCAGACATGGGGAGAATATGCAACTCCACACAGACAGTCACTCGAGGGTGGAATCGAACCCAGGTCGTTGGTGCTAACCACTGAGCCACTGTGCCACCCCCAAGTGAGGGAGCCCATCGTCTCTGGGTGGTTTCGAACCACAAATCTTCCGGTTAACTGCCGAACATGCTAACCAATTGCACCACAGAGATTACTCTGGGATTTGTCTGTGCAACTATGATTGAAAATTCCTGACGCCGAAAACCAATAGGAAATCAAGAATATGCACTTAAACGTGCAACAGAGTTAGATTTTTGAGCAAAGGCAATGGCTAAAATAATTCAGGACTTTCATTTTGAGTGATGAATGCTATTGATGTGGGGGTGTGTGGACAATAATGCTTCCATGAACTTGGGGGAAAATGACCTGAAGTGGAAGGCTGAGAAGTGAGACTGAACAGCTAGCAGCAATAAGGTGAGAAAAGTCCATTATTTTCATTGTAAGGTGCTCTTTGTAGCAGGATATATAAATCAGTGGTTATTACTGGAGAGAAAAATCTTAGTATTAAGAAATCATTGGGAAACTAATGGTAATTCAAAAAGATTGCAAGACTTGAATAAATTCCATTTGTTTGCAGAAAACTAGTCCCTGTAATGAATATATTCTCTTCTAACAAGCATAAAGTGAGTCGTATCAAAAGTTTGACTGACCATCTTAAATTGGTTGGTTTGTGTAGCTGTTAACACACAAGATCATTCTCAAATGCTGTCAAATTGTGGAATCATATCTAACATTAGCATGGCAATGCTGTAGCTAGAGTTGGTTTGCAAACCCATTAGCACCTGGTTCTATGTGACTGTTTGTTTGAAATTTGGCATTGTTGCATTTGTCCTGATGCATGCAACGTGAAAACATCAACATTTTATTGATTATTTAAATATTGTATTTCCAAACTAGGAAATACCTAAAGCACAATTATTGTATTTGTTTAAATCCAGACAGTTATGTTTTTCTCAAATTGTGCTATGATTATTATCCTATAATAATTTGCATTTTTGACAACCTTTAATATAGAAAAGATCCCAAAGTGCTTCATTAGTATAAACAGACACACATGAATGGTAGGGGATAGTCAAGTAGTGACCCTCAGTTGTAAAAAGGATTACAAACAGGAACTTAAAGTAAGAGGATATACTGGAGAGATGAACATGTCTAAGAAATCCACAGCATGGGCTTGAGATTGCTGATGCCACAGCTAGTAATGATGGATGGGCTGCACGTATGTTTGTACAGAGGATGGAAAATACAGGAGTAGGGGGAAGGGGATAATTCTAAGGCTGGGCCAGTTAGAAAAATAAACAGAGTCAAGAACATGAGAGCATCTAAACCCGATATTGGAGGTATTGGGGCAGCTAGAAGTCAATGTAATGAAACGAGGACAGATGTGTGGGACCTACTGTGAAAGAGGTTTGGTTGACCTCATGTTTTGGAGGAGTAGATGATTGGAGGCTGGTCAGGAGAGCTTTGGAAGATACAATGCTGGGTGTAGTAGATATGGACATAGATGGAGGCAGGCAATATAACAAGTGAAATTAGCTGTCCGGTATAGTTCATTTTGAGACTGATACCTTAGCCTGTGCCTTCAAACTGAGGGCACAAGACAGGAAGCACAGAAAGTTTCATGTTTAATAACATGAATTTAGAGAATAGTAGATGCGGTTTTATTTTTTAAAAAGACATTTCCTAATTAGTCACATCTCGTGATAACTGTTTGAGTAATGGAGATTACCTGTCTGGAATTATAATTGCCAGGTTCCAGTTTCTGCTTTTGATATTGTCTGGAGTAGCTGAGAAGCACTCCAGCTCAGCTCTCCTGTTTCTGGAAAAGAACCCTGATTGGTTCAGTGAGGTACCTGGAGTCCTGCTGCCACATGCAAAGCCTCGAAGTTTGTCAGTATTTACTGAGTAAGTCTGCAAAGGTCTCTGGTGACAACTGCACGTGTAGCAGTATCTGTCTTTGTGCACCTGAATAGCCAAGCTGACAGCGATCGGTCTCTTAAATCTTATCCTTTTTGCCTTTTTATTGGCCAAAAATGTGTTTTTGAACCTACAGTGACAAATCTGTGTATGTGTGGCAGATAGGTTTTGGGCTAAATTTTTTAAACACTTACGAGCTGTGAGTTAACCAATTTTTATTTGTTTTTTAAATGCAAGAAATGATTTTTAGAGTAAAAATAAAACTTTCTTTGATGATATGGCTGAAGTCCAAGGAAACAAAACCAGAGAGAGAAGAGAGACTGGACTCTAGGGACCATTGTGAGGAAAGATCTAAGACCGAGTGGGATGCTGCTTAAATACATGCAAACCATCCCAAGATTTGATGAAAGTGACATTAAAACATTCATTTATTTATTTCGAAAAGATAGCCAAATAACTGATGAGGTCACAAGAGTTATGCTTTTCTTTCTGAGGAAGCATTAGGCTCAGTGGTTAGCACTACTGCCTCACAGCTCCAGGAACCTGGGTTCGATTCCACCCTTGGGTGACTGTGTCTGTGTAGAGTTTGCACGTTCTCCCTGTGTCTGCGTGGGTTTCCTCCCACAGTCCAAAGATGTGGAGGCTAGGTGGATTGGCCATGTTAAATTGCCCATACTGTTCAGTAATGTGTAGATTAGGGGGATGCTCTGAGGGTCAGTGTGGACTTGTTGGGCCAAAGGGCCTGTTTCCACACTGTATGGATTCTATTCTATTGGATATGGGCATTAACGGTAGAGACCAGTTATGAAGCACGTGAGGAAATAATTCTCTTGGAAGAATTTAAAATTTCAGCCCTCTGTTAGTAAGAGTTTAAAGCTAGAATGTTGCACAAGCAAGGCAGGTATGAGGTAGCTGATCATTGATCTGGTCCACAAATTCAAACTCTTTCTTTCTCCATCACCCCCCAAACCCCAAGAAGGATAGAAAATGGGAAGTGAAAGGAAGGCATGTTGCTGGAAAAGGAAGAACAGCTCACTTGCCCCAGGATCTCATCTGCCAAGAAGAAAGGTGCTGAGTGTGGAAGGCCAAAGTTATTATCATAAGCCAAAAAATATTTTGAAATTTCAGGGTAAATCCACAGTATTTATTGGGTGCATAAGGTTGATTTCATTTGAAATGTGTATAATTCTAAAGGGACTTGAAAGGGTAGCGACCAAGAGAGTTGTTTCCACTGGCTGCTTTGAGGGCACAGTCTCAGGATACAAGTCAAGCATTTAGAAATGAGGTGAGAAGAAATTTTAAGGGTTGTGAATCTTTCGGAATCTCCATTACTGAGGGCATTCTCTATGCTCTACTGCTTACTTTTTCCGTTAATGGGATGAGGGTGTCACTGGCTAGGCAGCATTTAT